ACTGTTTCCCTCCCTTGCTTAAGAACTCCCAATGTTTCTCTCATTCCTTGTCTCAAAACAGGTATTGAGGAACTGCATATCTGGAACTAATCAACTTTTGTTGTCCTTTGCTTTATAAGTATTTGCAACCAAATGGGACTGTTACTAGTCCTTGTGCCCTCCTCATGATACTTTTACTCTCTGCTCAGGCCATTCCATTGGCTAGTATGGCCTTCCCTCCTCTTTTCTAGCTGCAAAAATTCTGGACAAGCCACAAAAAGTTTTCTGTGAACTATCAACATGGACATTGGCCATATCTAAACCCTCATAGCATTGTATATCCATTAGGGATAATTACATTCTTTTGGATATATTCATATATATGCATAAAATTATCTGGTGATATGAAACATCCCTACTGCCCACTCTGCCCACCAAAAAAGAATAAAGGGCTGAAGGGCATCAATACTAACTTGTTTCCCTTCGTGGCCCACGACATATGGTGTAACCCTTGCATATAGCACATGTTTAATAAAGTCTGAGACATCAGTGAGCGTTGTGCTTTCCAAAATGCCCTCACCACATCTAGGGTCACAGATAAGATACTGTTATTCGATTTTATAGAAGAAGAAACTAAGACCCAAAAAGTTTACCTACCTATTGATTGCAGACAACAGCAGAGCCCTGATTAAATTCCTGAGTCCCAAGGTGTTGTCTAGTCTACAGAAGCCTCTAAAAAGGGAGTGACTAGTTTGGGCTTCTCCAATTATATCTGTTTTTTTCTCTTCAATGTAAAACCACCTAACTTGATCTAATTTTTAATGAAATGATTCAGTCAGTCACTCAACAACTCCTGAATATAATAAATTTCCTCTTTGATTTATTTTTATTTTTATTGCTTTTTTTTGTTTTGTTTTAACATTTTAGAGCAAAGGAAGGAGCGAAACAGAAAGTCTTTAAAAATAAATAAATAAAAGAGCGCTGGGGCAGGAGAAGGGCCTGGGTCTGCAAGTTCTTGTTACTTTGTGACTTAAAACTTTTTAACTTACCCAAAAAAGCACCTACAGGAACATGCTTTTAAATGTCACCTTGTGTGTCTCTTGCTGTCCCCTGATTCACTTCTGACCATATGATGTATTTTGTGGCCTCCACAGGTTAAGAGGGTTCTAGTGACCTACTACACCTTTATCAGAAGAGTTGGTTGGAACCACAGGCATTTCTGTCAGGAAAGTGGTGCGTGGGTGTGTGTAGGGTACAACTTAAAAGGTACACTTAGGGGAAGGGATAATTATTTCTCAAAACGCACTGTCTAGAGCTCTGTAGGCAATATTCTGAATTCAAAATGACTTTTAGCTAAATCAGGTTTGCACCTGGGAACTGTGAAAAGTATTGAATGCTTCATAAAGGAGATGAAACTTGACCACAACGGGAAGTGACTTACAGCCCCGAGGCTCAGATGTATTGACATAAGGTAGTAAAGTAGGAAAGAATTATGGTTTTCAAAAAGAACTGGGATCCTGGTTTCTCTTTTATCTCAGTATGATGTGTGTGTCCTAGAATAAAATCCCTTAACCACAGTGCAGAATTGACATTCATTCAATAGGCATGGTCTGAATCCCTTGCTTTTGTGGGTCAGATACTGAGGGAAGTCCAAATTTCTTCTGTGACCTGTTCATCACGTGTCAATACTGTGGTTTCCAAACACTGTGTAAACTTGATTTCCCAAGTTCCAGTTGGGCATGTGGGTGATGGCAGCAGCCAAAGTGCTGAAAGAATTAGCTACAGCCACTGGGTTACTTGGAGTCTGAAGCTGTGCTGCCTGATTCACATTAGCATGTTTCCTTGTGCACACGTTGTCATAAACCTTTATGCTCTAGCATTTGTTCACTTGGTTCTCCTTTAAGAACATTTCTTATTGCTCTCCTTGAATTAAGGGTCTGAAGATCAGCTACCAGTGATTATCCAAAAAGCTGATCGTGAACTGCATAGCTGGTATGTGAACTGACTTTGTAGGACCGTGATCAACTGGAAAATGAGATATAAATTGGACCAGTTGGTGGATTGTCATCTTAGCAATGATATGGCTATACTCCATAGGAAGGTTTTTTTAATGTAACATTTTGCCTGGCATGCTGCTTTGTGGTCAATCTCAAGAGAATCTCGGGTTTAGTGAAAGCACTCTCCATCCTTTCCCTGCAGGTAACTTCATGATACACGAGACCATTGAATTTCCCCTCTGTGAGCCAAGTCCTACAACACTAATTTCTGCCAGTGTTCTTCTCAGATTTCCCAGATTAACTGCACTAATTTGGGGTTCCCTTTCCGTTCACTTCTTTCCCCCTCCTTCACTCCAATCCCAGTGTTAAAGTAACAACTTCATATATCATGAAGGGATGTCGCATGATGACTTTTGATGCCATGCCCTTGATCTCAACAGATATTTCCCTGTTCTGTATTACCTGTTGTTTGGGGGAGGGGGGGACAGTGGAATAAATATATTTTTATCTACAAAGCATAGCACTGGCTTTGGATTTAATGTGGAGTTGCAAATGAAAGACAGGATGAAAGTATATGTTGTAAGGAAAAGAGTTGACAAACATGAAAATGGTTGAAAGGGCTGTTATATCTTAAGCTGCTTGTATAGGATGGAAAGCTGTTTAAACGTGAGATTGGCTAAACCCAATGGGCCAAATTCTGGCCCCAAGTACGTGTGGTCAACCCACAGGCCCTGGAAAGAATCTGGCTTTGCCTTTATCCAAATATTAGTCATTTCTGGGTGGATTTTTTCAGAGTGATTTCTGAAAAGATAAATAGAATAAAGACAAAAAGACCTGGAAGAAAAGCCAAGTTTTACAAGGAACAGGGCTCCCAGTGCTCTTCTGCTCTTCTTTTTGCCAAGAGGTACCAAAACAGGTATGAGGTATGGGAAAGGGCCAGCAGTGAGCCTGCCCATTTCACAGTTGGACTGGACTTGGGAGTTGGTGCAGCCAGTCCAGGCCCAGCACCTCCTGCCTCCCCATCTCTAGTTCTGCCCAGCAGACCACTGCCACCAGATGTGACACAAGTTGGCAGGGCGAACTTGAATCTCTCCATTCCTTGAGTGGACAGACACGGCGGGACTACATGGAGTCCACTCTTCTCCAGCAAAGCAGCGATGTGTTCCAGGCAAAAACAATCTGGGATGTTTTGGCCCAAAGGAAACATTTACAACCAAATTATACACCTCAGAAAATAAATGAGCTTTCATTTTGGAAGGAAACCCTGCCAGGCTCTTTATTATTTGCACCACAATCATAAAGTTGGTTTTAATCTCTGTTGTGGAATGCCGCTGGGTTGGCCAACTGGCAGGCTCTGGTGGTTTGAGTGGGACCACTTCACCCTAAGAACACACAATGGGAAACAGGGAAAAGTACTTCTCCTTCAACATTTTTCTCAGGATCCATCATTTTGGGGTTTTGTGCTTTCTTTTTTTTTTCTGGCATGTTCATTGCAACTTCAAAGCAGACTCCTTTTTTTTTTTTGTCTTTTTCTTTTCTTTTATTTTTTAAAATTCCTAGAGCCTTCCAGAGAAGGACTTAATGTAATGTTTCCTTTCTAAATTGATGAAAATCCAGGAGTAGGTCCAAGAAGGTCTATAATGAATTTCCATTGATCGCTTGAGGAGGAATGGGATATAAAAGCTCAAAGAAAATAGAAAGAAAGGGTTTATCCAGCAAGTTTTTTTTCTGCTTTAACAAGAGAATCAGGTGATTTAAACCTGCTGGGAGTCTGCTCCCAGGACTCATGCCATGAAAGGACCTTGTAGATGTGGCAGCCAGCAGGCTTAGAATTTCTAGGATGGCCTGGGTTTCAAATATTTTATGCCGTGATCAGATTAGGTGCTGGGTAATGTGTTCTGATTTAGGTTTTGGATTAAGGAGGTCATCCTACCAGCATTTAAGTATGTGACTAGTACTTTTAGTTAGGAAACTCTCTCAGAAGGGCTTAAATGAATTAAGCTTACAGAAAATTTTGCACTTATACTGAAAATGTTAGGATGAAGTCTTTGTGGGCACAAAGAGTTTCAGAAAGCAGAGCAGGAGCTGCTAGAATAAGCCATGGGCAAGACTTTGGTGCTCATTGATCAGGCCAATCATGACAGCACAGTTAAGAATCCTGAGTGATCTTCAGTCTTTGTTGCACTTGAGAATCCTGTGGATCTTTGAAAGTATGGTGCCTGGATCCTACCCCAGACACCCATATTAAATGGTTTGGGATGTGACCTGGGCATCAGGAGGAGCCACAAAATTTGGGAACCTCTGATGGAGATTATAAACTCCATGAGGGCAAGGACTGTACCTGTCTCCTCTCCATTGTATTCCAAGCTCTTAGAATGAAGTAATTGGCTCTCTTTAATTACATGTTATATGGATGAATGAATAAAGGCCCTGAAGCTCATCTGCCCACACACCATCATTATAAATTCCAGCTAATTAAGTGATTTCAGCTCATAAATATTTGGGGTAGTGTTAGGTGGAGTGTGGGTTAAGTTCTAAATCTTCTCTGCCTCTACCTATGTTACCCTCTGCTTTTTCGCTATTTAAAACATCTTGAGAATGATTTTATAACCTCTTCATACACAACTTTTAATGTTTATGACCTGGAAATCTCATAACTCAGGACTGTCCATTGCTTCATATTTTCCATAAGTCATGAAAGTATACCTGAGGTCCCCTGCTCCTTGGGTTTCCATGTTCCTCTCTGTGATATAGTGGCCCCCACCCCTTTTATTCCCAGTTTCCATTTCTGCAGCTTCAATTACCCACAGTCAACCACAGTCTGAAAATATCAAATGGAAAATTTCATTAATAAACAATTTGTTTACTTTAAATTGAGCACCATTCTGTATGGTGAAATCTCCCTGTATCCCACCTGGGACATGAATCATCCTTTTGTTCAGCCTATCCCAGCTGTATGTACAGTACAATAAGATGTGCTGAGAGAGAGAGAGACCATATTTACAGAGCTTTTCTTACAGTGCATTGTTATAATTGCCCTATTTTATTATTAGTTATAATATTTTACTGTGCTTAATTTATGAATTAAACTTTATCATAGGTGTGTGTATATATATAGGAAAAACACAGTCCATCTAGGTTCTAATACTATTTGCAGTTTCAGGCATCCACTCAGTGTCTTGGAATATATCCATTGTGAACAAAGGAGGATGGCTGTATTTTAATTAAATTATCTGGAGGTGGATCAACCCAGTTCTTCGCCAGCAATGCCGTGGGGTGTCCTTCACTCAGCAGTTGAAGGCACAGCACTTGTTCTCTTACTCTGATAGTGAAGTTTTCCACTTTCCACTCCTTGCCTCCATCCCACCTCACTCCTCTCTTGCAGACACTGAATTCTGGCAGTGGATAAGTCAGCTTTGATTGTAAAAATGTTTATGGAGACTGTCAGTTCTTAACCTTAAAACTGAACCATGCTGTTTGTATTTTTCCAAGTGATGGAGAGTGTGAAGGACTAATGAAAATGGAGCGTGAAGAGATCAAACATGTGTCGTGGAATCTTTGTTCAAGACCTGGAACGGGAGACATTCCCTTGGGGGGGTAGGGAATTCTGGGGAATGGGATTTTCTGTTCATGGGCTCAAGGCCTGAGATCATGATCTGGCATGAGATAAAGTGAGGCATGTGGGGAGTGAGGAAACCAGCAGTGGCACGCAGGAGGCAGGAATCCTAACATGCTTTCTTTCTCTTTTGAAAAACAAAAAACATTATTTCCTTTGGTCAGAGAGATAGCAAATCTACTTGTAATAAACTCTCTCTTCTGACCTTCTTGAGCCCACTTTCAAAATCAGGATTTTGAAAGAAGCCTTTGCTAGTTTATATAACATGGTATGTTGGGGCTTTCTACATCTCTGTGCTTTTTCTGTAGACCACTGTGCAGGGTGAGCGTTTGGAGGTCTTAGTGACTGAACACCCAGGGCTTTGGTTAAAAATGGGTTTGGCTCTACAGAAAAATAAGTTTTTCTATCTGGGGAGTGAATGGGATTCCAAGTGAGCAAACAAATGGCATTTTTACAGAACAAGGTATAAATTTGCTGGAGAAAAGCAAAGCTCTGGTTGCTACATGAACCTTTCCAGTCTGGGCCTGTGTGGCTTGTTTGAAGAAAACATTTTCTTGGGTTGGATTCCTGGCAATAGTTGACCTCGTCCACAGAGTCTTCCAACACATAGGTGTGAATGCATCCATCACACTGCTGTTTTCTGGATCTCCCTGGAAGAATAAGGAGCAAGGGTACAGAAGATTTGGACAGAATCTAGTCAGGGTGTTTTTCCTTTGGAGTAGGCACATTTGACATTTGGTTCTGATGGCAATTGCTGCTGTATATGCTGGGAACAAACAGATTTTGCTTCTTCAACTTAATATGTAAGCCACTGCTTCAATCTCCTTGAAAAGCACAAGTTATACATAGGAGAGTTTGAGATTTATCCTTGCTGATGGATTTGCCGTGTGTGGCAGAGACTTTTGGAGTACTAGGAAGATTACAGGTTTGAAGAGGGGCCATTTTCAAACCATGGGAATAGTCAGTTGGCATTTGGGGCACCTAAAGGCAACTCCTGATCCAACTTTCTCCTCTGTCTCCCACCACCTTTCTTCCCACTTCTCTCATATGCCAAAGGACAATTTCTCCTCTCTCCTAGGCCTTCCTAAAGTCCTCCTCTGAGGTCTGGCTTAATCTTCTGCCAGATCTGAAAAGGTTATCCAGCAGCCATTCAGACCCAAGCCTGCCCTTCCCCATGAACATGCATGGTGTTTCAGAGTCAGATACAGAGCAAGGGAGCAATCAGTTAGAAACCCTTGACTATCTCATTTGGGACACTTGCTACCTCAACAAGCATGACAAGGCTAGAATATGTTGATGCTGGGAGAAGCAGGAAGGTTTACAAAGTTCACTCTCCATCTCTGGGTTTTTGTCTTTCATGTCATATATTGCTCTCTAATGTTATTTGACTCAGCAGCAGCTTCCTTTATCCAGGGACCCTGGAGTATGAGAAGCTATTCTTTTCCCCTCACATTGTCCTCATTGTGGGGGATCCCTGAGGAGTAGGTGACCCCCCAAGCCTGACTGGGTGCCTTGGGGCTCATTTTGCTATTTACCTGATTACATTTCCACAAGAGAAAAGCACACAAGTATTTCCTGAAGATCTTTCCCTTTGCTAAAGTAACCCCCAGGATAACAACTTCCTAACTGTTACTAAGCCACTATTTCTTATCTTCTCCAGGTTAAAGCAGAGGTTCTCAGATGTTAGCCTTGCAAGAATCACTGAGAGGGCTGGTTAAGCCAGAGCTGCTCGATATAACCCCCACAGACTCAGATTCTGCAGGGGGGTCTGAAAATCAGCATTTTTAACAGTTTCCCAGGTAATGCCAATGCTACTGGTCTGAGGAACCACACTTTGAGAACAACTAGGTTTAAGTGATAACTCAGCATTATTACCAACTTTTCTGTGAGCTTGTTTAGGAAAGAGGGGACACTTAGGAGATCTTAAAATTAAAAATTAAAACTGAAAGTTAAAACACAAATCCATATGTGTATATATAAAGTGTATGTATATTTATATATGTATTTATACTATTTATAAATATATACTTGTGTAAACATTTATATATACACAAATATATATTTATATGCACATGTACACATACTTATAAGTATGTATATGTATAAATAAATGTATATAAATATGTATATATAAAATCTTTGAATTCATATTTGACATTGAAGAGAAGCAAGCAGATTCAGAAAATGTTCAGATTCAGAACGCAGTTCAAAAGAACAAAATACCTGGACCCTTTCGGCTCCTTCTAAGTCTTCTGTCTGTCCCTGCTTCATATCCCAGCTGCCCCATGGTGTCCTGCTCCTTGGTATGCTTGCTGGCCACTAAGTGGTGAATTGGTCATGCACAGATGACTATTGTTGTTGGTACCTCCAATGCAGTCTCTACATTCTCCTCCTGGACAAAGGGAAGAGCCAGGTACTACTCATGACATCACTGTGCGGTGGCATGTTGTGTCAGGACTTGGGGTCACTATGTAAGTAGTGTTCAAACCAGAAACTGAGCTAGAGAAATTTTTCTCCACCTCTGCCAGACTTTCCCTTCATCCCCCTGCATCCTGAGACCCAAACAAATGTGGTTCCAGAGATGTAGGGTGAGTCAGATGAGCCCATGCCCACTGGGCTTCGAAATCTTGCTTGTGCATTCATTCATTCATCTGCTCATCCACTTAGTGGGGTCTTACTATGTGCCAGGCCCTGGGCTAAGAGCCAAGTATACACAAGTGACAGAGCAGACATAATATGTTCTTCAAGGAGTTGACGTTCTGGTGGGGGCCAACAACAAAGAAGAAAGTCCATAAATAGAGTCATTTCAGCTTATGATAACTACTAGAAAGGAAATAAGCAGAGTGATGGTGGGAAAATGTCCAGAAATAAGGGACACAATTTATGCAGGATGGTCAGAGAAGTCCTCCTTCTGGAGGTGATACGTAAGCTGGGACTTAAAAGAGCAAGTAATGAAGGTAGCTGCACTAGCACAATTGGAAAGTCATTTCAGAAATAGACGAAGTTCTCTTTTTGTCATTAGCAGATATGCATTTACTTGAAAAAGTTGGTGTGGCTAGTATAATTTACCCCTTTGTGCATTTGTGTTCACAGTTAAATTACCTTTTGTGTGCCTTTATTAGCCAGAAATGACAGAAATGAATAAGCATCTAATAATATGTATAAATAGAATAAAAGAAGTATTATAAAGTACAGTAATAATGCAAAGCAAGCTGAGATCAGGGAAGGCTTTACAGACAAGACAGTATCTAAACAAGGTTTTAAACAGGAGTTTTTGTTAATAGGGAAGGAAAAGAGACAGAAGGAGGTATGACACTAGGGCTTCTTCAGCCACTCCTCTGGGCAGACAGCATCCCTTGCTCCAGTCTGAATTTCAACTTTCGTATGCCCCTCGCCAGACTCCTTTGTGCCATACACAGATGACATAATGGATGTGGCAGCCCTGGGTGAAACCACAGGGAGTCGATTGTGCCCACACCTATCGGTCTTTGAAATCCTGTTTGTTCATCCATCAATCCATCCATCCATCCATCCATCCATCCATCCATCCATCCATCCATCCAGAGGGTATTTAACAAGATTCAGGTTTTTTGGTAGGACTGCAACCATAAAGAGGAAAGCTAACTTTGCAGTCATGTAAAACCATGGAGAGCAACAGGACAGTGCTACCAAAGTAGCCGGTTCCATAGGAATAACCCCAAGTTGGGCGTCAGGAACCCTGTATTCTGGGCCCAGACCAAATACCCTCTCATTCCCTCTGGATCATATTCTATGAAAATAGGGGGTTGAATTTCCCAACCACCCTGTGCCTTGCTCCTGCCATGCAGCTCGAGTGTGACTATTCCCAGAATCAGCTATATTATACAGGGGATAGTGGAAATGAAAATGGCTTTTAAGCTCAGATGACTACGGCACTGATTACCCCCTCTCTCCCTAAGTTTGGCCTCTTTGGTTGGTAGTGGTCTTGGTCCTTTCTGTGCATCCTAACCACCCTCTTCACACTGGGGTGGTTAGAAGAGGTGTTAACATTCTTCCCTAAGGCTTCAGCCAACTCAGGCTGCCTTCTCTGTATCCACTGGCCCAGTGTTAACACCTGTAGCTCCTGCCAGTCAGCCAGTTTCACAAGCATGGTAAACCCCCAGCTGGGCCTTTAGTGAGCTGGGCAATGTTGGTAACATTCTCAACCTCAGTTTTCTTACCTGTACAATGGGCATGATGATAATTGTACCCTTAGATAGGGAGCTTTGGGAGGCATTGCTTGATATTATGCATGCAGGGTGTTTGGACAAAATTAACAGAGAAATGACCCTTACGATATAGTGGAAATGGAGGTGTGGTTATAGGTAGGGAAGGTAGGAGCTAGGCCTGAGGTAGAAAATATTCAAAAGAAAGGAACAACATCAGTCTTCTCCCCATCCCACCATTTTATTGTTTTTACAAGGTTTTTTTTTTTTTAATTCCACGCATTAGTGATATCCTATAATGCTTCTCTTTCTCTGTCTGACTTACCTTACTTAACGTAATGTGCTCTAGGTCTATCCATGTTGTCACAAATGACAGGATGTCCTCCTTTCTCATAAATATCCTGCTGTGTATAGGTTCTATATTTTCCTTATTCTGCCTCATCTGGCCAACTGAGTAGCTCCCTTCATGTTTGCATAAAGTACTATGTGCCATTTCATTTCTGCTTCTTCTTTCATGAATTAGTCACCATCTATTTTATTTCATGCTCATTATATCAGTTTTGTTGTTGCTGTTGTTCACCAGACCTGATGACACTGTGAAGTCATCAGTCTGCGCAAGTCAAGAAGCACTGGGCTAGAAGTTTTCCTAAGAAAATAAGGCCAGGACTCCTCAACACACAAAGCAGAGGAGCAGAGTTGCAGATTCAATCAGTGGCATGCTTCAGACCAGTGTTCTTGAGCCAGTCTCCTGGGACAGTTACCCCTGAACAGGGGTTCAGTTAGGGGAGCATAGGAACTTCAAAGAGGCAACAGACTCTCTTACCCCAAACAACACCTCCCAAGAGAAATGAGAACAGCACAGACAGCAGAAGGAAGAGGGTGGTGGCATTTCCTTACTAGCCCATCTCAATCTTCTCATCCCAATGGAGGTGTTCACGTCTACCTCAAATGGATGTCATGAAGATTAGATTTAACATCCAGTGCCTGGTTAATCCTATGTGCTCAGTATCTTCTGTTTACCTCTCTAGATCCACTGTTTGCCTTTCCCCATCCTAATTTATGCCTCAGGTGCATGATCTGTCTGCATGACATCAACTGGCTCCCTGGCTCTCAAGCTTCTGATTGGATTTGGCCATTGGTAAACATGCAGGAGATGAGGGAAAGAAGGGGGGGTTGCGGTATGTAGTGAGCCCCTCAAGTTTCCTCTACACACACATGCACACACACACCCCTTTCCTACTTTGAAGAATAGTAACCACCCCCTTTCTTACCTCTTCATGCCTGGGGATATAAGCTCTCCCTGACTTTACTGGCCCTGGGCACTGTAGCATCTTCAGTGGTTTCCAGCTTATTTTCACAGATATCTATAAATTGTACCTTTATTAAGCTCTCTTCAGTCACTCATACGTCAGCACTGTCAATTTCCTGCCTGGATTCAGACTAATATACCGTAGTACCATGGTTTT